TTTACAATGCTTGCATGGATGCGGAGGATACGCAGTCTCAGGTCTGAGAGTCCGAAACATATATTTTAGGTGCTCCTGTGTTTTGGTTTGGAATGATTCTTGCCTACAAATGTATCTGACAAAGATATTGATCAAGAAGTATTTTTGAAATTCTGTTGTACTCTAGTTGGTTAGGAAACTTGGTCATCATCTCGGAAACGAATGTTTTGGATTTTTTTCTGGCCTGGTTGGTTTATCGATGATGTATTTATTACACTCTATTGGTATGGTTGATGCTTCACCATAATGTCTTTTTGGGGGATTTTCAGGTTGCTTGTCCAATATTTTTGTGTTTGAAATTGGTCGATGTTTGATAATCATTTCTCAAGAACCTCTTCAATCTACAAAATTTAATACAATTACAGATATCAATGTAATTACTTCTCGGGAGCCATCTCTAATCTATCGGTTTTCAAAATAATTACGAACTTTGATACAATCATCACTTGGAAACCGGAGCTTCATGCAAGACGAAGTCAGTTCTCATAAAAATTTCATGAGCAATTATGTCACATGCAAGACAAAAAATAGTCTACGTTAACCAGAGATTCGTTTTTAAGGGCTCGGGAGTCGGCTACACGTGAGGAAGGGTAAGTTACCCCACACGCCCAAACTTGATACCTTGTCACTTATTCGTTGTCGTAATGGTAGAATTTTTAAATTTGAGTCGAAACTTAAAATATGATCATTTTATTGAACAACAACTAATTTATTTCGAATTGCTTTTTGTTTATAAAAGAACTTTCACTATTTCGAGAAGAGATAACGGGATCGTACATCCTCCAATGGAAACTTTATCCTATCTCTCTCTTCTCTATACAAGAATGTTCCCTTTCTTATTTAGAACCATACATTGAACTTGACTCGAATATAAATGTAGTCAAATAAATGACGTACCAGAAACATAGGCATTGTCGTTATTAATAAAATAATGATTTAATTATTGTTTTTTTATCAAAACATACTCAATTTATCTCAAGTTCGCTTTTCGCTCGAATTTCGTCTTCAATCGTGCTACTTCCAACAAATTGTACATTTTACGCCCATTCTACGACAAGTGTTCTTGAAATATGAAAGGACTACAAAATATAAACAACATAACAAGTACTAAATATGTAATTAACCCAAAAAATCTCATATTCAAACCAAAGGTTGTGACTAAATTAAATACATAATTAAATATTTGAAGTTTAATATCAATCTCAATCAGAACAAATCAGAATAGAAGAGATAACACCCTGAATAGCAAAAAGTACATCAGCCAATGAGCAAATCAAATAGAAGAGATAACAACCTGTTTTGCCAATAACCATCTATCATTTTCGTCAAGATATTAAATTGTGATATACTATCATAATATACAACAATTATATAACGATAACGGTATTACCTAAATCGTTGTTGTATGATCGCGAATCACTATACTCTCAACAACTATAATATCATCTGTTATAATCACACATATAAACTAAAATACGACCACAACCGTAATTTAATCCTGATTTTTGTATCACATTTCTTCTCCGAAACACTCTTACACTCATCATGTCTTGTGTGCATGGAACAAGTTAAAAATAGTAAAAACTAGAGGTCCATGGATAGTTCATAGAACCCCAAAATGGTGGAATGGTGACCATTACCGATTCCTCTCCGATGACGACCGATAAAAGAATAAGCAAAGGGAGAGCCATGGAGAGTCAAGCTACGGACCTGCCAACGGAAAATCCGAAGGCTGAGCTTATAAAGCAGTATAATCGCTAATCTAGAGAAGCATATGAATTTCATACACATAAGCATGCTTAAGACAGATACTAAGTAGTAGGTACAAGCATGATTCCAATTAGTGCTACCTACGTAAGGTCTTCCATTCTATCTCTCGAATCTACGCCTCATACTTCCCTTAGTCTTCGCTAAGGGCCTCGCCATGAGTATACAAGTACTAAGTCTAACCTCATTATCATCCTATATGCATCAACATGCCAAACACAATGACGATACCCAATATCGCAGAGACGTCTATACTATCACTCACAATAAGTAAGAATCGTGGTGTAGCCCGGGGTCACATAGCATCACGAAACTCACACCTCTGTTTGCTTAATAAATGTACCTTGGGTAGACCTGGGTCACACAACATCAACATCTCCCAAGTATCTTAGGCGAGGTCCGGGTCACATAGCATCGATACCTTCCAAGTATCTCAGGCGAGGTCCGGGTCACATAGCATCTGCACCTCCTAATACCTTAGGCTATGTCCGGGTCACATAGCATCGACACCTTGCCTGGCTAGTCTACTCCTCTGAGTACTCGGAATGTGTTTGGGTCACATAGCATCAAAACCACGTTCAACTAGCGACTAAAGTGCATCTTGCACTGACTTGGATATATTCGGATATCCTATGCACACATTACGATCTTCCTACTGCTAAAGTTACTAAGGTCCTCATCGTTTCCCGAACGACACACAAGGGAATAAGTCTTATGGAATCTTACCTCATAAGGCTTTTATGGTTATCACACAATTAATATTATTATATCTCATTGTTATTATAGGCTTTCATCTAGAGCTAAGCCTTAACACACGTCAACTGATTTCACACGGCACCAGGCGAAGTAGCTCGATCATTCTCTACTGAACTTATCAAAGTCAGCTGAGGTCATATCCTCTCCACCTGAGACTATCCCGCTCATCCTCTCGCTAGGATGTTATTGGAGGGGTATTATTTATTTTATGGTATTTTACTCATTTCTACCTCCAGAGAGGTATCTAAGCATTTCACACTTTCCCGGTGATTATGATATTTGCAGTACACTGACTGATCCACTAGTTAGCCCGATACCTGAATCGGGCTCGTAACTAAGTAACAACACTCCTAACGCTCTTATCATAATTCTCCCAATACCCCTTGAAGTAGTGGAACGACTTATCCATTTTCGGTTCATTGATAATCTCTAACCACCACGCTATTCGTCGATATTGACTTTGACATGTTTATCTTACTGCTCATCGGTTATCTCATGTACTGATCCTCAATCCCAACCATTTGTATAAGTTCTCGATTGAAAATACTCTAGTGTATTACGCTTAATATGGATACACCCGGTGTAACCTACTCCTACGAGTGTTTTTAGGTATTGGGTTATTTATATCCCTCACTGACGATCTTACAAACCTTAAATGGGTCAAAAGAACATTCAACAACACTTAGGACCTTTGAATACAAATCCATCCTCTTCATCGAGCAAACAGAGAAGGGATCGATCCTTTATATCGATGGGTCGATCATTTTCTCTAAGGGATCGATCTTTTTGAAAACAGATCAATCCTTTCTCTTGAAGGATCGATCCTTTATGGTTAGAAACTTTGGGATCGATCCCTTTGGTCGAGGGATCGGTCTTTTTTCTGGGAATGACTTGTTTAAGCTTGGGAATCTCTCAAAAATCACCCTAAATGACATGGGTTGGTTTCTAAACTTATTCAAATGCTTTAGTAAGTTATTTAGGATCATTAGACATCATTTGTAACATCCCAAACACCGGGTCAGTGACCAAATTGTAAAATTTTACAATTTAGTGACTAAATTAGATAAATTAAAAAGTTTAGGGACTTAAGTGGAATATATTTGTGTAGGACTTAATAGTAAAGAAGGGTGAATGGAAGCAAAATGGTCATTTTGCAAGTAAATGAATTAAAAATTTACCATATATATTTTATAAACACGTGGAGCCAAGGAGAAGATGAAAAGATTTTCAGAGAACTCTTCATCTTTCTTCCTCCTTCAGTCGTAAACCCCATTTAACAAGGTGAGTTTCATATAAGTTGATTATTTATTGAAATTAAGCTTGGTTTAGATTCTTTAGGTAAATCTTAAGCTCAAGGAAAGCTTAAGATTTCTTAAAACCAAAAGATGATGAAGTTATGAAGAATTTAATATAAGAGGTTTTTTAGTGAAATTGTGAAATGGAGTTAGTAAATGGGTTTTGAGATTAAATTTTGACTTGTTATTGGTTAGATTAAGAAGTATAAAGTGTTAGAAATGAAATTAGAATATGTTGAAAATTTAGTAAAATTCTTAGTTTCAAGATTTATGATATTAAGATGATGATGCGTTATGGATACACTACTAGAAAAAACCCCTTTAATGACGCGCAATGCGCATCTATGAGTGCAGATGTCACCCAAATTCGTGTTATTGAAGCCACCGACATAAATCTCAGATGACGTGCAATTGTGCGTCATAAATCTATGACGCATTTATGACACACATTTATGATGCTCATTATGATGCACATTTATGACGATCATTGCGCGTCATTGAAGCCCCCGTCATAAATGATGACACACATTTGTGTCATATTTATGACTTATATTGCATGTCATTGAATCCCCCGTCATAAATGAAGATGACACACATTCGTGTGTCGTGATTGTATTTCGTAAATTATATATATATATATATTTTAGATTGACAAATAATCAAACTAAATCGCATTTAATGCCTCATAATACTAAATATACATCATATTATATATAAGCAATCCATTTGCATACAATATATTCACATTAAGTTATCAAAAATATTGTAATCATATGTCGATACAAAATATCATGGCATAATAAAGTTTGTCAAATAAAAGTGCACTAGGAACGATCATCAAATTGTACATTGCAAATAAGTTCAATTATCAAGTCAATATTTTTTATCAAGAAAATTTGCAATTTGATCATAGAGAAAGGAAAGGCGCTCAAAATGAACATGTCCGCTGATATTATGGAAATCAAAGTGAATATATCTGCAATATCACAGGTTATTGCATAAAAATAACAAAAACAAAGGCATGGTTTGCCAGAATAGCAGACATAGCTTATTCATACATCAAATAGATAACGATGTTAGAGACGCATCGTTATTGGTGATTCTGAAGAGACAACATAAGGATCTGCAATATACATAGTCCATGAAGGCTGTTACTTGGCCTTTGAGATGTCATAGAATGAAGCAGGTGTCTTCCTGGATTTGATACAAAGTTCCTGGAAACATAAGACATTTGATTTATAACTAGTTATGCAACCTCGAATACAGAGTTCAGAACATTCTCTTTCAAGGAACATAAACTTGTTTATAGCTCGATTGCAGAAGCCAAACGTAGAATTGTAGCTTCACCCCATGGACGACCTATTAGTTGTAAACCTATGGGAAGTCCTTGTTTGTTATAACCAACCTGGAATAAGCATAAGAAGAAGAAAATGAGCCACAAGTTCTGATAGTTTCATTACAACAGTTTTGGGTATTCTTTACGGTAGAACAGGATCAACTCTACCCTTTTAGCCGATTTATGTTTCCAGGTCCAGAGAGAACATTAAGTTTAATTAGTTTGGAAAAAGAAACCCAAGCTATAGAGTTACCAGGGGTAGTTTGAATTTAACTCAACAACTTGTCTTGCTCCCTACTATGTAGCAAGCCATAATCAAATCTAACAAAATGTACGATTAAATTTGGGACCTTAAGTAAGAAGGCTATGCTCGGACACTAAATTTTCAAATCCAAGAGGCCAAGACTTTCTCAAGCATTCCTTTGCTCAAGGATAGCAAAGGAAACCACTCCAAGGTTTCTTGGATCATTGACTAAAATAAGTAGTTCAAGTGAGAAGTTCGAATTCTTAGCAGCAAAAGCTATATGAAAAACAGATGTTCCTGTAAGTATACCAAATTGGTCTGCTCCATAATAAAATTATTAAATTCGTTTTTTGACCCCTTTCTCTTACCAATTGTTAATTTAATATATAATCAAAGAGGAAAGAAATGCATGTCACTTACAACGACAGTAAGGGCAAGAAGACCAAGAAGATTACCAGCAATAATGAACCGCATAAGGTAACCTATAAAAAAGTGAACCGCAGTATAAAAGATAAAAAGAGTAAGCTCATATGTCACTCTGTATGATGATGTCAAGTTATGTTACTCCAAATAGGGTGCGAGTGTCAAGTATGAGTATGTGTCCAAAGCAAGTTTTAAGATTTTTAGTGTTTGGAGAATCATCTCCCCATACCCTTGTATGGATATGCATGTATGGGAGTTGGATATGGTTATTTCAAGAAAAATGAAGAGTTGAAGCAACATGCATGAAAAACCTATAACCTGCATGTCTGACTCTCCTTTTTCCAGAGCACTAGGTGGTATTTTTGGTGCTGTCATGTTTTGTGCCCCCCAAAACAAAGAAGAAATAGTAATTTAGTGCAAAGATTACTGAAAGAAATTAAGTGTAACTTAGTGCAAAGGTTACAGAAGAAATTAAATGGAACTTAGTGCAAAGATTAGTGCAATAAATGTTATTATATTGTAAATGACATAAACAATACTTGAAAAGGTAATAAATTTTACAACCTCAACCATCTGTTCCTAGGGTAGAACATAGTCCAGAAGCTACAATTGTTGCATGAGCAGATGAGGATCCACATGTATATCTTTCGTGTGCATGAGGGTTTCTGGTTGTTCTATACCCCAATACATTTACAAGTTAAACACACACACACACATGTATATATGAGATAAGTTTTAGAAATTTGGTGTTTAATTATACTAGCCATAAAAGATACATACAAACCACTCATAAAACATTACTGAAGTATCATATTGAACAATGTGTCTTTTATACATATGAAGAACTACAAATTTACCCATAATTTGGATTGTTTCCGGTTGTACCCAAGCCAAATTCATGCATGCTGGCCTTTCCAATAAGAATCACACCACAGCTCCGCAATCTTGAGACACTAACCCCATACTTCTCAACAGACCGAACTCACCTGTCATAAAATATATATATTCTAGTCTGTCTTTCCTGACACTAAAAAGGGAAAAACAATAGGAAACATTCTTTTAGAAAATAATTGCTGAGCTTATTTACCCTAAGTTGGATAAGAAGTGCAATCTATATCATCCTTGATTGCCATGAAAATTCCATCCAAAATTGACAATGGATTTATTGCATGACTCACATAATTTTTTTTATTTTAATTTATTGACTTTCTAATTCTACTATAGATGGGGAATCTTATGGTAACCGTAATATGTGGATGAGAAAGCTTTACAACCAAAATACCTTCTTCAAACATGTTGAAGCTACAACTTACTTTCTTATATCCTCGGCCTTAAATGAGATCAACAATGGTGTTGGGGGCTTATGATAGTTACACCCCTCAATTACTGAGATGATTTGTTCCGCTACCTATAAACCAAATGTAAGAATACTTAGCTAGATGATAAATTAGTGTTTGGTAACTGAGAAAATAAAAGAAACCAAAAAGAGAGAATTTTCATTATAATTGATTTAGAACAAAAATAATTCTTTAGCATTTAATAGTGACTTAGAAGGTGTCACAAGTTTCGATCTATAATTATAATCACGAATCATCCAATACCGGAATTATGTAAGCGAATCCCCACTCAACTAGCAGGATCATAATGGGGGAGACATTTTAAGGCAGATCCAACTCGGTCTATAGGTTTTCTTTCTTTATCCACAATGACTACAGAAGGTTCTGCTTCTGTTTGATATCATACAAACAATCAACTGTTTGATATCATACAAACAATCAACTAGCTGTGAAAGTTCACAAATAGTGATATGTATGAAAGTCAATTGGTATGTTTCTTTTTGGTTCATCATTTCTCATTCTTAGAGTTATCAAAATAAACCAACAAGTTACCATTAAAGCATGTCAATGGAAATCTTGGAGCTCCCAAGTTCAGATTTTGTTACTGTCCAATTACTATTTCCAAATTACTCATCATGTCAAATTAATGTCCATAGCTTAGACATTGAAACCTGGTACACTTATCATCAAAGAATAGAAGTTTCTTCTAAAATTACAATGAAACAGATACCAAAACAATGAAAAAAGGTAATGGAATAAACCTTGAGGAGGGAATTCAGGTTTAAACATGGGTTTTTTTGGAATCTCAGTTTTCTGCAACATCTGCAAAACCAAACATGAAAATCACCATTAAATTTTCTTGATAATAGACTCGTATTTTAAACTGAGTAACAATATATAGCCAAACAAGAGGAAACTTACAAAATAAACAACAACAACAAGAAGAAGGTCGATTCGTATGTTTAAAGTTGAAAATGCAACTAAACAGAAAACCAAAGAAAATAAATCGTACCGGTATTAGTGAATAAGATAGTGGATCATTGTGAGGACGAGGTGGAGGGAGAGACGGCGGCGCGGTGGAAGAGACGACACAATTAAAAAGTGTACTATGTTTTGTAAATTTTTTGATTATGACTAAATATGACACACAGTATTGTAATTCATAAATCATTCAGATTTTAAGACACATGACATTTTTTATGACACATTTTTTGCAAGTCATAAATTAGCGTGTGTCATCGTTCGTTTGTCATTAAGGTATATTTCTTGTAGTGATATAAGATGTTTTGAGTAAGTGTAGTTTAGTTGAATGGCATGAAAGGAGTTCAAAATGAAAGGTTTAGGTAGGTATTGGTAAATTTTCGGGAAGTGAATTCTGGACAAGGAGTATCAGAATTGTTCATCCAATACCGATACTTCAAAGAGAAAAACGGATGATATTTGGTAGAGTATCGATACTGGATGGACAATATCGATGTTATAAGCTAAAGTTGATAATTTATTCAAGGGTATTGATACTGAAGTAGTATCGATACCAATAATATCGATACCATTATGCAAGTACCGATAAGATTTTTAGAAGGAATTCCAGAACTGGAAAAAGTATCGATACTGCAGCATGGTATCGATACTGCAGCATAGTATCGATACCCAATAAGGGAGTAACGGTACCATACCTTGGGTACATATACTATTTAAAGTAAAAATATGAATTAAGTACCTCTTTAGCTTAGATTATTATTGATCGATTCATAATGTTTAGAATTCTAATAATCGATCAAATGCACATTTGTGTAGATATCGAACATAAGCAAGTTCTGAAACAGTCGAAGAGTTAAGATCGATCGAGAGAAAGAAACAGAGTTATAGGAGTTGATTGGACTAAGTGAGGCTAAGGTGAGTGCATACTATTTATATAGTGTTTTATGGAAATAAGACTTGTGATAAGTCTATTCCTATGTTGATTTCATGGTTCTATAGTTATAAGCATATAAATGTCATGATTATTATGAGTCCATGCATAAGTGGTATATGTTTATATGTTATGATATATGTTACGTGATCTATATGAATTAAGAGAACATAACATAAGTTACATGATACGATATAAGTAGTTATATGCACATGTGATATGTTATGAGAAAGGACCTATGGATTACATGAGAAATGATATGAGTTATATGAGTACCTGTATATGTGATGATTTGGTTGAATATGTGAAACATATAAATGGTAAAGCCCATGTTATATGATATGAGAGTTGTGGGTATAATTGGTATGCCAAGATTTGAGGGTTCTACGAGGTCCTTCGGACATATATGTGGTCATTCGGGACAATTCTACGAGGTCCTTCGGGACAATTTTATATGGTACTCAGTGCAAATTTATACGAGCTGTGGTGATAGCATTTGTGCACAACCTCAATGCACTCACATACCTCATGTTCTCAGTAATGTACATGGGCTAATAAAAGATATAATATGAAATGATATTGAATAATGTGATAGGTTATGATTATTAAATGCATGTCTATGTATGTTTTTGTTAAGAAGATAGATGATTATTGTCATTTTACTTTAATATTATTGAATTGCATGTTCATGACTTAAGTATTGCTTTATTGTATTATATGCCTCACTAAGTTGTGACTTAACGTGTAAGTGTTTCACACGTAGGTACCAAGAAGGAGGAAGATCAGAGTTAGGCGCTATCAAGGTAGCATATCTTTTAAAGAAGATCAGATCAGAAGTGATTCAAACAGTATGTCATTTTGTATATGAATTATGCTGGCATGTAATGAAAGTTTCAATCACATATGCTCTGATCGATTTTGTAAATATTTTTTATTATATCTATGTAATCACTTTTATTTTAATGAAAGTTTAATTTTCAACAATTTTGTAAGAGTAAACGTTTTGAAAAGTCAATGTGACACCTCAGATTCGTATCCAACCTCCCCTATTTGTAATGGTACCGAAAAAAAATCTAGTACATTAGAATACAAATGCTAAGGAACCTAAAACTCAAAAGCTTGAGGTTTATAATGTTCAAGGGCTGGGAATACTGATGCTAGAATTGTTATGAATCTGTTATATCTTCCTTTGATTTGGGTCGGTTGTTGTATATAGGCCAATTACCTAGCTTCATTAAATCACGAGAAAACGCAATTGGAAGTTGCATGCGATAGAGCCTTTCAACAGAAATTAGATGGCCCTGTTGAACTCCTATAGCTGGATATGCTTGGAAAGACGAGGATGGCAGTTGCATATTTAAAGACTTGTAGCTTCTCTTGATGAAACACGTGGTACGTCCATACACTTGAACATTTCCCCCGATTTCTCTTTATCTTCTGTCTAATGAAATACCATCATTTGTTTATACGAATATGTATGTGCAGTTCCTGAAACATCAAGGAAGGGCATATATATCTTCAAAAACATGGTTTCGACGGGGAAGGATGCCAGTGAAGAACTTCTTTCTAGAGCGGGTCCAGGCTTCTTTGATTCTTGAGTAATTTATGAATAATCAAGGGTTTGGGTTCATTCATTTTCCTTAGCTTTTATTGGTTACAATATATGGATAGGTAGCATTTTCATTCTTTCCAAGCTCAGCCATGTAGATCTTTCCTACAATTACCATTTACATGTTGAAACAGAAGATCCAAATTGGCACCCTTTTCTTTTCCAAGTTAACACTGCTTTTGGGTGCATCATGAGAGTGGTCATGTAATCCTGGGTTCATTTTAACAAAATATAACTTGATTTTGGCTTGTGAACTTCAATTGCCATCTTCTGCCAATTCAATATGGAATGTTTCCTTATGTACCATGTATATCGTGTTTTGGTTTTACAATGCTTGCATGGATGTGGAGGATACGCAAACATATATTTTAGGTGCTCCTGTGTTTTGGTTTGGAATGATTCTTGCCTACAAAATGTATCTGACAAAGATATTGATCAAGAAGTATTTTCGAAATTCTGTTGTACTCTAGTTGGTTAGGATACTCGGTCGTCGTCCCGGAAACGGAAGTTTTGGATT